AATCACCCTGGGACCCCGGCATTGTGTACAACAGAAACCAAGATGCCCAGGTTACACAGCTTGCTGAGGCCCTGTGGGAGGCTGGACTCGAGGCCCAGTCACTCTGGCATCACCTCTGTGGGTCACGGATACAGACACTCTTGGCCTTCCTCCCCAGGAATGTATGTTGCCTAATACATAGTGGTGCTCTTCCTGGGGTCACCCCTACCAGCCCAAGCTGACCCACATGTGCGCCACACATTTCTGTCAGGGCCCCAGTGAGCTGGCCCTCCTGTAGTGACTCACTTCAGAGGCCCAGACCATCCTGGAGGAGGGTGGTGGGCAGACACCTGCCCCTCTGCCCATAGCTCAGCCACACTGCCCATCACCTTCAAGTGCCTCCTGGAGAATAACCACATTGACCGGCGCATCGCTCGGTTTGTGCTGCCTGTGGGCGCCACCATCAACATGGACGGCACCGCACTCTACGAGGCTGTGGCCGCCATCTTTATCGCCCAGGTCAACAACTACGAGCTGGACTTTGGCCAGATCATCACTATCAGGTGTGTACTAATCCCACACTCCAGAGGGCCCCCGGGTCAGCCAGGACATGGGTACGTGACAGCCACAGGCAGGGCTGGTGCTGGGGTAAGCCTGATCTTTGGGATCAGGGTGAGCAGAGGCAAGGGCCAGGCCTGAGGACCAGAGAGGCTAGTGTCAAGCCTAGCGCAGGCTGCCTCAATAGGGCAGGGCCTGAGGCGGCCTCATGTAGGCCAGTCCTAGCACACAATTCTGACCCAGGCCCAGAGTGAGGCTGGGGTGGAGCTGTGCTGGCAGACCACCAGAATCTGAGTGTCTTCGTCCCACAGCAGAGTCTCCTAGCTTATTCCAATTCCCTCAAGGATGGGGATGGAGGCCCATGGGAAAAAGGACTATGAGCAGACACATGCTTCTCTAACCCCCACTGATGTTCATGACGGGTCCCACCCCCTTGGCTGGCCCTGAGGCCCTAGCACCCTAATCCCCCTCGGAGCTAGGGTGGTGGCAGGTGTCCTCGCCACATCTGTTCCCTCTGCAGTATCACAGCCACTGCGGCCAGCATTGGGGCGGCTGGCATCCCACAGGCAGGGCTCGTCACCATGGTCATTGTGCTCACCTCTGTGGGACTGCCCACCGATGACATCAACCTCATCATCGCTGTAGACTGGGCTCTGTAAGTGCTCCATTCCAGTCCTTACCCAGCCCCACCCCTTGCTGAGGGCAGCAGGCAGGGGGCCGGGGGCATCGCCATGTATGGCACACGGGGGTGCCCCAATAATCCACACCAGCTCAGTTGTGTGACTTGGGGTCTCAAGAGTTCAAAAGTCAAGACAGAGTCCCCTTGAATTCTCTAAAGTAGTACTGGGTCTGACCCCAAGTCTGGCCCCTCCAAACACAGGGCCTGTGTTCATGAAGGGGTCTCCCCAGCTGCTTAGGCACCCCTGAGGGTGGGTGGGGTGCACCCCTGCCTGCGGTCACTGCCTGTGTTTCTGCGCAGTGGCCTCACACTTTCCAGTTGCGTGTGGCCTCTACCAGTTCCCTGTTGGGGTTGTTGCGGCTCACTGCCCACCTTGGCTTGCCAGGGACCGCTTCCGTACCATGATCAATGTGCTGGGTGACGCACTGGCAGCGGGGATCATGGCCCACATCTGCCGGAAGGATTTTGCTCAGGACATGGGCACTGAGGTGAGAGCAGTGTCCCCCCCAGGAAGCCTTTAGGAGATGGAGCCAGGTGGGGTTGCAGATTTCATGGAGGACCTGACAGAGTGCCCAGAGCTAGCCAGTGAAGCTGTGGGGGGGGAAAACAGCACATCTTCCCTCGGAGAAACCCAGTCCCTCATGCAGGATGTTGCGAGGCAGCTGGGACCTGGCTGGAATCCGGGGTTGCGGGGGTGTGTAGGTGGCTGTACCCACTTCACTGGAAGGAAGCTGAGGTTCAGGTAGAGGAGCTACTGTTCCCCAACTGTACTCTGGGGGCAAGTCCCTCATCACCAAAGTAGGAGGCAGGAGGCAAGGCAGCTTGCAAACCGGTACCCAGAGAGGCCCGTGCCCCGCCAAGGCTACCCAACTGTGTTTACAGGAAAATCCCTTTCAGTGGCTCCCAGCCTGAGACCGCTCAGCATCACCTACCCTCAGCCCCTCCTAGTGCTAACAAGGCCCGTTTCCTCCCCAGAAACTGCTACCCTGTGAGGCCAAGCCAGTGACGCTGCAGGAGATCGTGGCCGCCCAGCAAAATGGCTGTGTGAAGAGCGTGGCTGAGGCCTCGGAACTAACCCTTGGCCCCACGTGTCCCCACCACATCCCAGTCCAGGTAGAGCAGGATGAGGAGCCGGCCACCACCAGCCTCGACCACTGCACCATCGAGATTAGTGAACTGGAAACCAATGTGTGAGCCCACAGGGCTGCAGAGCTAGACCAGACCCTGGGGTCTGGGCTAAGGGCAGGAGCTGAACTCAGAATACACCCGAGCAGCTGGCCAAGCCCAAGTCAAGTTCCACCCTGACAGGCTAGTCAGTCATTGATGAGAAATAGTGTCTCAGCAAAGAGACAACAGTGTGCAGGAGCCCCAGCCAGAACTATGGGCTCATGTGGCCCAAGACCTAGCTGTGACAGTTTGTACCACATGAGCACCTGGCAGGGCGGGTCTTTGCCTCTATGGAGGAACAGTTTTGGGGCCTGAGAGAGAAAACCGCTCACTGGAAGCAACATCAGGGCTAGAATGTTCTCTCATGTCTTTGGAGTCTCGGCCACTCTCTTCTGGCGGACAAGGCAGCCTGCAAGGACCAGCCAAAGAGGCTCTGCCTTCTCCAGGGTCCCCACAGCCACCACTGCTTCCAACTCATGGAGATATAACAACTGCGCCCCTGTTTCTGCCCCAGCTGTGTCCTGGTCAGGTCAACTCCTGTTCCATTCCATTGTGGTTTTAGCACAACAGTCCCAATAAGGGCTGGTCCATCCCCTGATCAAGACCTGATGCCTTCCATGTACCACAGCCTGGTCCATTTCTGTCCACCGGATCTCTCATCTAATATGGAGACTCATGTCCACTAGGGCTGGAAGGGCCCCGTGGGTACAGTCCAGCCAGCCTCCTATGGGACACGTGGGCAAGATGGGCCACAAGGAGGAAGGCCCAGCCGGAGATTCTCTGGCCACGTGACTAGCAGTACCTTGGGGGCTGAACTCCACAAAGGCTTGTGTGGCCAAGTGGAATAAGAGTTACTAGTTCCTTCTGTGTTTGCAATATGATAAATAAATGTCTTCGTTTTTTCAAGACTTGTGGATGTAACAAGACTGTATGCTGGTGGTATTTTGTTTTGTGATTTGGGACAGGGTCTTTTTTTTTTTTTTTTTTTTTTTTTTTTTTGAGACAGGGTTTCTCTGTGTAGCTTTGGTGCCTGTCCTGGATCTTGCTTTGTAGACCAGACTGGCCTCGAACTCGTAGAGATCCACCTGGCTCTGCCTCCCAAGTACTGGGATTAAAGGCGTGTGCCACTGCTGCCTGGCAGGACAGGGGTCTTGTTATGCAGTACTAGCCACTCATTATGTAGACTCTGTTAGTAGCAATCCTCCTGCCCCCTTCAACCTCCACCCCGCCTTCCCAAATGCTGAGATTTTAAGGCATGACCCGCACTCTCTAGTTGAGAGCAGACTCTTGGAGAGTACTTCTTTGTTGACCTAATCAAGCAGACAGAGCACAGATGAGCTAGTCCTGGTGGCCACAGGGAGAACAGGCCTGTCTAAGCCAACACATGTGGGAGACAGAGTATAAGCAAACCCACCCCAGACCACCTCAATAGGCCTGACTGTAGCTGGGCCTTTTCCAGAGCTCTTAGGGACAGACCTCCTTACCTTGATCAGACTGGTCTGGGCTCTGGCCCTGAAATCAGACCCCAGGAAAGGAGGGAATCTCAGCCGAAGCCTGCTGTTGGTTAGTTAACATATAGCCTTAGAGAAGGGCCTGGCTCAAGAAGCCTAAGGGACAGAGCAGGGTGCTGGCCACACGATCTGTTGTAGCCGGGATTGGGTTTAGAGGTGGGGTAGGGGTATAACTCTGGGGTCTGGAGGGGTAGAATACCAGGCCTATGAGGATTCTGAGGCCCAGGGAGACAGGCCTCCCCAAGGTCACTCAAGGGCCAGGAGGGCACAGACCCTCACCCTGAATTCTACCTTTCTCCCAGGAGTGCAGACTCCGGGAAGGGCCTCAGCTCCAGGACCCACCTCCCACTCTCCATAGTCCTCTCATGGGTCCACCATAACTGTCTTTCCTCAGGTGATCCCTAACCACCTGGGAGAGGTCAGCTGTCCAGCCAGTTACTTCCCCTTCATGTCGATGGGCTCACTTGACCTTCCCCGAGTCACCTCTTAAGGCCTTTGAGGAATCCAGCGGCCTTGCCCAGCTAGCCACAGGCAGGAGTCCATATTTTGATGAACTTGACAGGCTTGTACCCACATACCTCCAGGTCAGGAAGATCTCTATCTAGTCCTTAAGACCTAGTGGGCAGCTAGGTACAGCCTCCCTACAGCTTTCAACCCAAGCCCAGCTCTGCCCACATTGGGGTGGCATATGGAACCTGTCCTTCAACTCTCCCCTGGGAATGCCTCAAGAGACTGTCCCCACAGCAGCTCTGCCTGGGCTCTCGGACCCGCCTTCTGCCTCTTCCCTACTTGGACAGCACAGACTATCAGCCACACCACCTCAGTGCAGAGGTGACTCTCTGCCTGGGGGCTCAGCTTGGGGGAGCAGGGGTAATGTGCAGGCCTGCGCCCTGTCTGACCCTAAAAGCAGAATTCCGTCCACTGAGAGTGTCTGCACCAAGCTTCCTGCCTCGCTGCTCTGTCCCATCTCTCCTCTGTCTGCATCACTCCTGTCGGGGGCCCTGGGTCCTGGCACTGGTCCTTGTTCTTGCTGGTCAGGGGTATTGCTCGTTAGATCAGATGCCAGCCCAGCACCTGGAGGGAAGCACACACAGATACAACATGGATGCCAGGCAGGGGTAATGCTTTATATTAGTTTTTCTGGAACAGGAAAAATCAGCTTTGAGATTTTTATCTTTATATATATATTTTTTCTCCTTAAAACCAAAGGTACCCCAGAACTGAAGACCAACGCAGTCATCCCTGCCCACGCCATGCACAGCTGCCTCCTCCCCCTCCCCCCTCCTTCTTGAGGTTGTCCTCAGAAAGTGCCTGTGACCTGCCAGGGCACAACAAAAAGGAGCTCCCTGTGGTGGGGTTGCCTCAGCACCTGGGGAAGGGGCAAGGCCCTGGTGGAAGTTAGAAGGTTCACATCCCCAGAGGGAAGGCAAAAGACAAAAGCCAGCTTTTGTGAGTCTCAGAGGGTAGAAAGCACCTGGCCACAGAGGAAGGAGACAACCCCGAGTCCCCAAGGGAGAGAACAGTGGACAAGGCACATGGCCAACTGTGATGACCAGAGATGGCCAGAAGCAAGAGCTTTTGGTGGCATAGGTCACTCTGTGTGTGTGTGAAGTGGGGAGAGAGTATCTGCCTGAGTGTACCAGGCCAGTGTGGGTTCAGAGGTCAGAGCGTGTGTATGGTGTGTGTGTGTGTGTGTGTGTGTGTGTGTGTGTGTGTGTGTGTGTGTGTGTGTGTTGGTGTGAGACTGTGCAGACAACCAGCTTGGAGGGTCATGTGCAGCTGGCTATCTGTGTGGCCAGGCTGGGGGTGTGGTGTCTGCACGTGTCTGCTTGTGCAACACATTACAGGAAGGGGTGGGACACGAGACTGTGTTCAGCCTCTGGCATTCGGATGCCCCTTGGGCTCAGCGCTGGGTGTGTCAGAAGGGGGCGCTCACGGGGCACAGGCCTGGGCTGCAGAAGGGAGTCCGGTGGTCCGTCGTCCTGTGGAACATGTTGGAGAGTCAGGGCTAGTTACAAACAGCTCTGGGTGGAATGACTGAGTGAGAGGGTTTTGGAAGCCAGGCTCCTATGCGTGGGAATGACGAGGCGCCCCTGGGAGTCTCGAACCAGGAGGTGCCCAGCTTGAATCCAGAACTTTCTGGGACTTCTCCCAGCATTCCACTTGACTATGGCCAACATTCCACAAAGGGGGAAAGATTCTCCCTAACCCCAGAACTCCACAGCCCTTCCCCCGAGAGCCAGAGGGTCCTCATGGAATAGTAATCACCCCTTCCTGCTGACCCTGGCTTTTAAGGACAGTACCTTAGGGCAAGGACTCTACCTCCATAGCTGGCCCTGGGAGCTGGGGCTGCCCCTCCGTGCTCACAACCCTGTCATGCATCCTGCTCTCTATCGTTAGTGGGTAACTTGTCCCCATCATCCATCCTCACAGCTGTCATCATCCATCACCACCACCCCCCAACCCCCACCACCAGTTCCTCTCAGCTCCAGGCCCTACTTCAAGTCAACATCCTAACTGTGGCCATGACCAGCAGCCTCCTTGCATAGCCCCCCTGGCCTCATAACCCCTAACACATTCTCCGAAGTCCTAACTAACCTTACATATCCGCTCTGACCACTGCTCTCTGCCTGGACACTCCCTATCACCTGCCCAGGTTTCCACCCCCTCCCCACATCTCTGCTCCCAACACTCCCACCTGCCCCTCCCTCTTCCCAAGCCTGGCCCCCAGGACAGAGACTGTTAATCTATCCCATTTCTTTGTTCCCTGTCTTTCTGGTCCCACAACCCTAAGCAAAATGTTCGCCGTAGATGAATCCAGTTCTCTGCTTGGCGTCTTCCCCTGCATGGACAGATGATCTTAGGCTGATGTGACTTCAGATCCAGCCATCAAAGTCACTAGCCTGCCTGGGACTGCAGTCACTCAGCTCCCTGGCCCTCCTTCCACAGTCGGACGATCACCAGGCTCCTGCGATTCCCTCCAGCAGCCCTCCTGCCCCCTCTCCTCCCTCCACAGCATATCCCACGAGCACCCACGTCACCTGTGCCAAAAGGAAACCAAGCAGAGTGGGCCTTCGTGAGTTTCACGGGGCCTCCCCTCTACTGCCCTCAGCTCTTGCCCCCCCCCCAGCAGGTATGTTCCCTGACTTCCCAGTCATTCTCCCCACCCCCACCTCTCTCTCTCAGTTGTTCTCTCAGAAGCCACAGGGACTCTGTAGACACATGCAGTTAGGCTCCGCAGAGCCCACCCCCTCTCAGGCTCTTAGCACTGAAGCCGCTTGAGTTCCCTGCTTCCAGAGAAGCCCCTGCATGGACTAGGTATGTGTGTATATGTGTGTACACATGTAAGCCTGTGTGAATGGGTACCCATACCTCTATGCATACTTGTTCACACAGCTATGTACATGTTATTGCCTGTAACTGTGTCCTGGAGTAAAGTATGTATGCATGTACACATGTGTAGATGCTTGTGTGTGCAAACTCCCTGTACGTTAACTGTGTACGGGGCCCATAGGGCTACCCTCTCCCTCTCTACCCTGGACAAGCTCTTCTAACCCCCTCAGTGTCTATACCCATCTCAAGGCCTACAGTGACTACATCCCCGTCTCCAGCTCAGGCATCTCTGCACCCCAGGGTAGCCCCCAGTACAGTATTCATCTCCCTGTGTTAGACTGCCTCGGCACAAACTGGCTTCCGTGGGTGCTCTGCCACACACACTAACCTTTCCCACTAACCAATCCTACACACAAAACTGACAGATGCTCAAAATGAAGGGACAGACTAGAGGACAGGGTGAGGATGGGTCAGGGACAGTGTGGGGAGAGGTGAGCATCATACCACACAGACCACCCACCTGGGTCAGATCTGTGTCACTTTGTTATGATCCTGTTTCCTCTTCTTCATCCTCCTCCTCCTCCTCTTCTTCCTCTTCCTCATCTGTGTGGCCCCGGTCCTTGGAAGTGCCACCAAACTCAAAGTTGCCTTCAATGTCCAGGACCTGCAGGTGTTTCAGCCTCCGGAAGGCGCTTTCCACCACGGAGCCCACGGCCAGCTTGTTGAATCTGAGTGGTGGTCCGTGGGTCAGTGTCAGGAGCTGATGCCCTCATGCCTGCCCAGCTCAGAAGGGAAGAGGGCAGGGAGTGGGTGTCTGGGAAACGGCCCAGCAAGTTGTAAAGGTGGAAGACGAAGAAGCATGGTACACCACGGCAAGCAGACCTGCTGGGACACTGACAGCTTGGAGGAAGGGACCAGCAGACGATTGTCATCTACAGGGCAAGAGAAGCCTCCCGCTCCGCACACTCTTACTTCATCCATAGAGGGGCAGCCATGGGAGATGCCTCTGCTGCCCTCTGGTACAAACCCCAAGATCTGACTGGTACACAGGCAAGGCCGTGGCTGAGCTGGTAAGGGATGTACTCAGTCCTGACTTTAGGCCCAACAGTGCCTCAACTCTGCTCAGAAGCCTGAGTCACACCACCCCGGTGTCACCACCCTGGGCCTTCTGCTACCTTCTGTTCTGTCTGCTCTCTGATTTGGGGGGTCGGGTCAAGTGGGGTGTGGGAGGGGTTGAGAAGAAGTCATAGTCTGTGGGTCTGAGTTCCCTGAAGTCCTAACCCCAGAGCCCAGTGGGACTTAGGCATCTGCGTTCTTGGTCTGACCCTGAGCCCCACCTGGCTGGCTGTGAACATAGCAGTCACCTGTGTCTTCACAGCTGTGGGTTAGCAAGATGCTCCCTGGGCCTCCTCTCATAACCACCTACACCTCAACACCCCCCTACACTAGTCGTTAATGTTTCCAATGCCCACTAGCAAACCTACGAGCCACCGCAGGCCTGCCAGAGCTCTGCTCACACTCTTCCTGCAAGCTACGCCCTCCCCCTCCCCCCGTGTCTCAACTATCCATTTACTGTTAGATGTGTAGGGGGCGGGTACAAGTGTCTCAACTATCCATCTACTGTTAGATGTGTAGGGGGCGGGTACAAGTGTCTCAACTATCCATCTACTGTTAGATGTGTAGGGGGCGGGTACAAGTGGGGGCTTCAGGGACTTCCTACCTGAGAAAGATCCCCTTGAGGTTGGGAGTGGAGTCAAAAGCGTTGGCAGGAACAGAGCTGATCTTGTTATTCTGCAGGTACAGGTACTCAAGCGATGGGGGGAGTCCCTGGGGGATCTCTGTGAGCTGGTTCCCAGCAATGTCCAGCAGCTGCAGAGGCAAGCAGAGGAGTCAAGGACTCCCGTCTGCGCACAGCACTTAACAGCTTACAGACTCCCACCAAGCCGTAGTCTATTGACATCTAATGAGAACCCCCAGTGGGGTGGGGGTAACAATCCATGTTTTCCAGGTGGGGAAACAGCTTAGCTAGGTTAATCCATCTCTAAGAGGCTAGAACACGCTGTGCCAGACTCCAAGTATTTGTTCTCATTGATGTAGACTCAGCCCTTTCTGCCATTGCACATGGAGTCATGGCCAAGTTGCCTGCATGTCATAGTATTTCCTCTTTAATCCACCTGTCACTTCCATCAGACTAGACACGCCAGGATCCATGTGTGCAGGTCACACGTGCAGGGGCCTGGAGAGTAGGCACAAGGCTTGTAGAAATCCTGACACAAGCAGGTCCCAGGCTGAGCAGGCTCAGATCACCTCATGCCTGGAGCCCAGGAGCCATAGCCAGGGAAGTGGGGCAGGGGAGCTGGCACACACTGGCTCTGTGGTCACCTCTGCTGCCCCTCAAAGTGCCAATGCACCTTTTCCAGACCCACACTAGTGCTGCCATGGGACAGGACTACATGATCTTTGAGCTCCTTTGTTGCCCTGGCAGGCTGGGATTCGGGTCATCGGCCAGATCTCACACAGCTTGGAAACCTGCATCAGGACTGCAGCGGAGTCCAAAATTTCCAACTCTGTTTCCTCCTCCTGTTTCCCATGTTGTCTCCACAGCCATTGGGACCCTCCCCACTCTCGCCTTTACCATTCCCTCATTCATTCCAGAGATGGTTGGTGCCCATGGGTGCTGGGGACATGGACTCCATGAGACACCATCTCCACTCTCAGGAAGACAGACAGGCTGTGGAGATGGACCAGAGCTCCACAAAACAAGCCACAGGCTTGGCTGTAAAGAGGAAGCAGGGAAAGGCCTCATCCAGCTTCAAGCCAGGAAAGGCTTTCCAGGACATTAGCACAGGGTGGATTTGAGGGAAAAGGAGCAGTTGCCTGTCAAAAGACCCTCAGTGTGAGATAGAATCCCTGCTTGCTCACCAGATACCCAGGCTGAGGCTCAACCTGGCCTGCCCGACCCTGCTAACGGGTAAGGATGTTTCCTAGGCAAGGTGACACTCAGGCTGAGTCCTAGGTATACCCTAACAAGGGTGGTGTCCCCCCTCTTATTTCTCGCAGGATCCCCAGTTCTGGAACTGTGTCTAGTACAACATGGGGACTCTTCCAGAATGAATGAAGGAACAAAGGAATAGATGTCTCCAGTAAGCAAGGCAGGCAGAGTGCATCCAGTAGAGGGGCTGGTGTGCCTGAGCAGGAGCAGAGGGAGCCTTGAAAACCACAGCAGGGAATCAATCCGGCCGGGGACCTCAAGGAAGCGGGAGCTATAGAAGATTATATAGGAGTGCGTGTGTGCGCGGTGCTTCGAGTACGGGAGCGGTGAGATCCCAGGACGCTGAGGTCCGGTTGAGAAACAGGGTGGCTTGGCCTGGGGCATAAGCAACCTGAATCGAGAGCTGTCGTTGGGGTTAGGAGCTGTCAGGCTGCCTGAGGCAGGCAACAGAGACAAGAAGTATGCCCAGGCAGCTTACAAGGTGCCCCGGGTGGGTGTGGCCCTTCCCCCTGAGTGAGTTAGACAAGGTAACGAGAGGGGGCAGGTGTGGGGGCTTGGGATCAAGACCGAGCTCCCGAGCAACAGCTTGAAGGCAGCACAGAGGCTGGATTCCGGTGCGGCCCTCAGCAGGGTGGGTGGCCAGGGTGAGGAGAGACCATGCAGAACCAGCTGCCTCAACCACCACACTGTCCAACTCAGGGGTCCTCCTGGACTCTCTCTCTGCCCCCACTCCTCCCCAGTATTCTTTGAAGACACCCCAGTCCTGATGGCAATTCCCACCACCACAGCCGGTGGTGAGCACGTCAGACTAAAACGTGGGCCTCTCCTTCTTCCCAGAATACAGGCAACTGACAACCCGCGGGCCCCGAGGCCTGGCAGGTGAAGCTTCTAAGGAAAAACAATGCAGAAGAAGACCTCAGAGCCGGCGTCCAAGCAGAGCCCCGAGAGACTAGAGCAGGCCCCGAGGGAGGTCTGAGGGAGAAGGGACAGGGTGGAGGTTCTCAGCCTCTGTCATGAAGGCAGGCTCCGGGAGCGGAACAGGAGCTGCTGTGGCAGGCTTGGCCCCTCTTCCGTGTTCCGATAAATTTCACCTAACTCACTGCTCTCCTCACATGGGAGGTTCTTGTCCCCAGAGAGGTTTGGGGATATCCCCACATAGCCATAGCAGTCATGCCCAGTGGTTGGCCCCAGAGTGCCTTGAGCAGCTGTCCCATCCTGGCCCTCGGCTGACTGGGAAGATCAACAACACCCCGACCTCCAAGGTCAAGGCCCAGCCTTCTGCAAGCACCCACTTCTGTACTTCAGGACGCTGGGCCCATGTTGCCCAAACTGCCCCCTAATCCTCCTGAACTAGGGACCCTGACCTGAGCCATGACTATCACTTACCCCCACCACCCTTCTCAAGCCAGGGTCTGCCTGTGGTGACAAGGCCCGGCCACCCTAACCACGGGCTCCTGTGTTCACTCTGCCCTTCGCTTTTGCCCCATAGGTAGGTTGGACTGCATGGTCACGACCCTCCTACCCTAAGGTCAGCCTCCCCGGCAGGTCTCTAACTGTGAATCAACTCAGTCTGGCTAACCCACAGGAACCTGGCTCCTGGCACAACTGTCCCTCATCCCAGTAGCTAGGTAGGCTCGGGGCAGACCCACCATCCTCTCTCCTCCCTGTGCCCCTGAGTGGCCCAGTCCTTTAGTACCTGCAGACCAGCAAGGTCCACCCAGGCACGGGGTCCCAGGGCCCGGCTACGCAGTCGGTTTCCTGTGAGGTAGAGTTCCCGTAGCTGGGCCATGCCAGCCAGTGCCCCGCGTGCCAGGGCGGCCAACTCATTGCGCTTGACCTTCAGCACATGTACATTTCTAGGCAGGCCCGGAGGCAGGGTTTGCAGGCGATTGCCAGACAGGTCCAGGGAGCGCAGCAGGCGCAGCTTGCGGAAGGCATCCCGGTGCATCTGCGGGCTGGTGATGCGGTTATAGCTGAGGTTGAGTTCTTCCAGGAAGTAGGTGGTGGCAAAGTCCTCACGGCCGATGCCTGTGATCTGGTTGTGCAGGATCATGAGGGTGCGAACTCGGCGGGGCAGGCCACTGGGCACGCGCTCCAGCGCATTGTTGTAGAGGTGCACTGTGTGCAGACGCTTGAGGCCCTGGAACGCCAACGGGTGGATGCCCTCAGCCCGCAGCTGGTTGCTGTGCAGCAGTAGATACTCAAGGCTGCGGATGGGTGTCAGCACATCAGCGTCTACGCTCTGGATGACGTTCTTCTCCAGGTGCAGCAGGACCAGGCTGCGGGGAAGGCCAGCGGGGACCCGTGACAGGTTGTTGCTGGACAGGTCCAGGTACTCCAGGCTGGAGAGCTTCCTGGAGAAAGGAGGGGACTGAGATGCTAAGCAGGAGCCCACATCCCACATCTGCCATCTCAGCAGGCCTTATCTATACGCTTTGACTTCTTCCCAGAGACAGAAATGGCAAATGACACAAGCCCCAAAGTGTCTTCTCCAGGGAAAGCAGGCAAGGACAGTAGACACGTGACTGTGCCCAGCTGGGAGCAGCTGAGCCTGCCAGGTGCCATGGTGATGAGGAGGCTGCGGTGATACAGGGACCCACCAGAAGGTCTCATTGTCCAGGCCTTCATCGGTCAGGTAGTTGTTTTGCAAGTACAGCTCTCGTAGGTTGCTCAGCTCACTGAAGGCCCCAGGGGGGATCTTCTCTAGCTTGTTGTTCTAGAAGGAAAGGGAGGGAGGGGCAAAGTGAGAGGCAGGGGCAAGATCCAGGCCTGGGATGAGGTGTACCAAGAGGGGAGTCAGACCTGCAGCACCTGTGTGTGCTGATAGCCCCCTCAAGCCCACACTGACGGTCAAGGCACCCAGACGTCCGCCTACTCCCCCAGATAGCTAATACCCCTGCAATGTACTTTCAGACTCACTCGGCATCCCCACACTCAACTGGGCCATGCTTCTCCCTCAGCAGTTCTGTGTCTGGCCAAGGGTCTGCCTCTTCCCCCATGGGCGCTCTCTGCTCCCCACCTTGAGATGCAACTTGTACAGGGCAGGAGGCAGGTGTTTGGGCACGTGGCGCAGGAAGTTGCTGGACAGGATGAGGATCTCGACGTTGCTGGAGCCATTGAACATGTTGTCCGGCAGCCCGGCATCTGCTAGCTTGTTGTTGTGCAGGTACACAGACCTGCGGGATTGAGGTATAGTCCTCACCCCACCTGGGCTCCCCGCCCTAGGCCAGCTTTGCTCTGTACCTTCAAAGTCTTACGGAGAGCAGGGCCCGGGGCACTTTTCTATCATCTTAACCCAGGGGTGCAGAGTTAAAGAGCTTCAGAAGCCCCTCTCTGGTCAGGGACAGGGGCAGGGACAGGCTCAGCACCCTGACCGAAGTCACCACATAAATTAGTGGCAGAAACAGGTCTTCCTGGTCCCAGCCCAGACTCCTTCATCTGAAGTCCAGTGTGGGGGGTCCTGGGAGTGGTCATACCTCCTTAAGCAAGTTCAAAGAAGGGCAGCTCCACCCGATGGAAGCTGCTCTTTCCTCCCAGACCCCACCACTCCCATACATAAGTTCTCATTCCTCATTTACTGGACGGAGACCTCCTCATCCCTCAGGTCTCAGCCCTCTGGATCCTGAGCTCCTCTAGGGCCTGGGTGTGCCTCCACCACCCCTGAGCACAGCCCATAGCCCACAGCACAGCAAACCCCCTCTCAGGGCCTGCCTGTGTCTCCTCTTTGTTTCCCCCAAATCCTCCACACTCACCCTCCACGCATACATTCCCACACACCCAGGATCATCCCTCTGACTTCTGACCTCAGATTTGGTTTTTGGCCAAAGGTGAGTCCATAGATCTTAGTGAGATAATTGGCAGCAAAGTCCACACTGATCAGGGCGTTTGGCAGGAATCGGGGTGCCAATGTTAGCTGGAAAGAAAAGAGACGGCAGAAAGACCAGTAGAGGCTAGCTCTGGGCCCTGCCACTGGGTGCTGGTCGGCTTCCCTTCCCTCTTCTTCCCTGACACCAAAGCCACTTTGCTAACGCAGAAACCTGTTCCATCCTTTGATAAAACAAAACGTGCCCAGCTCCCACAGCCCTTAGCTTGGCAGTCAGAGCCCCCTGCACCTGTCCCCACACTCCTGAGCTCCTGGGCTCATGAGGAAGAGGGGTTCGAGGCCAGAAGCAACAGTGTGATTTGAAAAGTTGCTCTGGGTGGAGGGAAGGCAAGCTTCCTGTTTATTATTTACCTCTATGCATTTTGAAACATGTCTCCTTGTGTCCAGGCTTGTCCCAAATTCCCAGACTTAAACGATCCTACCTCAGCCCTGAGTACTGGGGACCAGGGAAACATGCCACCTCAACAGCACAGCCTTTCTCCCTGGGCCCAGGCTGGAATCTGCCCTTTGCTCAAGTATCGTCTCCTCCAAGAAGCCTTGTGAGTGCCTGTGTGACATGCGGGACTCTCCCTCCACCCATCCATGCTGAAGGCCTTGGCCGCTTCATTATCAGCCATGCTCTAGGTTACGGGGGATGGTGTGAGTCCCCTTCTCAACATCCAGGGCAACGGGGACCCAGAGGCCAGGCTAGAGAGGGCACTGGAGAGTAACCATAGAGCTCAAGGGACGAGAGAACCAAGAGGGCAGGGAAGCCCGCCCACCCCCCCGTGGCCCTCACCTTGTTGTTGGCCAGGTACAGATAGTTGAGGCTAGTCAGATGCTCAAACGCCTCCTCTGGGAGCCCTTTAAAGGACAGGTCAGAGCCCTAGATGAAGGAAATACTACAGGGGAGCAGGCGAACCACCCACTTGCTAGGCAGCTCCCTCCCTTCCCAATCAGTTCCAGTCTTTGTCCTGCCCTGCGTTCTTTCTCTCTCCTTCTCACGTGGCCCAAGCACAGGAGCGAGCAGCTAAGTGCTTGCTGGGGACTGAGTGACCTAGCCTAACCCTTTGAGGCAGGAAGGGGTGCTCCCCTGGGGATGGCTGCAGGGGGGTCAGAGGCCCCTCTTCAATCTCAGCCCCACCTACAGGCAGGTGCAGCCCAGCTGGGATAGGCTCTGGGCAGGGCAAGACTCGCCCCTGGTCCCCTCTGACAGCTGGCTTGTGAGGAGACCAGTTAGACTGGCCCCTCTCCAGCCCTGAGCTGGCCTCTGACATCCAGTCCCTGCTCCAGGACCCCCAGATGCTGGGACTGGCCCAAGTCAAAGGAGAGGGAACAGTTACATAAACCGTGAGCTGCGTCTCCATGGAATACCCTGCGCTGGAGTGTGACGTGACAGCCAGATAGAGCTCTAGCAACAGAAACAAATTGCTAAGTGAAACAAAGCAGGCCGCCGCAGCGATTGCAGGAGATCTGCTGTGGGTTTAAAAATCTAAGATGAATGGCTGCAGATCACAGAGGCGGCTGTACACTGCATAAACTCACCCAAACACATCAGATTGGAGTGGACTTTTAAACTGGGTCACTTAGGGCACATAAATCACATATCAATAAAGCTGCTTTCTTTTAAAACGGGGAAGGGAGAATACCAAAACCTTAATATTGATTAATTCAAAGTGGCAGGATTATAGGGTTTTTTTTCCCCCTTCCACTTTGTTTTCTGAAAGTTCTATCCCAATTAAGTATTGTATTCATCTTCAGGGGGAAAAAAACAACTTAATGTTGCTCTTGGATTCTTCGGGCCCTTGCAAATTGGAGAGTCCCTGACAAGGTCCCAGGAAGCTTGTGATCTCAATGCCCCAGGCCCCGCCTCCTGGGTCTCAGACACCCACAGCAGGCTCAGGTCCACATCAGAGAGCCCCCCTGCCAGCCCAACCCAAGCCTGGGCTCCCCTTCACCCCAGGGTCTGCAGGGTGAGTTCTCCCCGTGGCCACTGTGCCTCTCAGGCCTCTGAGGTCCCGTGTCCCGGCCCCTGGGGCCAGTGTCCCGGCTCCTCACCTCGGGAAGTTAGGCGGTTGTTCTGAAGGTTGAGTGTCTCCAGCCGCTGCAGCCGAGCCAGCTCCTCGGGGTAGATCTTCTCCAGCTGGTTGTTCTGGGGGGAGGTGGGGGAGACAGCAGCCATTCAGGGGTGGGTGCATGAGGGGTTCTGTACCTGCCCTTGGCCCTAGGAGCACCCTCTCTTGGGCACCTGCCTTGGCATTCTCTCCTGAGGCAGACAGTGCACAGCGGTGGGCACAAACGTGTGTGAGTCCCACTCTTAAAGAGCCCACATGCAGCTATCACCCACGGCTCAGACCTGCACCAAGTGACAGCACCTGGGACTGTTCTCTAAACAGAAGGCACTTAGCTCCCTTCTTTGGCCCTGCAGTCCCCACTCCCCTTGGAATACTAGGTTTCTGACCATGTGCTCTGGAAAGCTCTCCTGGGCTGGATGAAGGGTCTGATCTGGACCCCATAGTGTAAGTTCTTGTTCTCTCTCTCTCTCTCTCTCTCTCTCTCTCTCTCTCTCTCCCCCTCCCTCCCTCCTTCTTCCCCTCCTTCCCTCCTGGTTTTCAAGACAGGGTTTCTCTGTGTAGCCCTGCTGTCCTGGAACTCACTCTGTAGACCAGGCTGGCCTTGAACTCACAGAACACTGCCTGCCTCTGCCTCCCGAGTGCTGGGATGAAGGTGTGGGCCACTGCTACCTGGCTAAGCCTTACATCTCTATTTGACTTTGTCTACTCACTTGTCTGTCTGTCTGTCTCACCCATGTACTGTGAGCACCTAAGTTAGAATGGGACCATGCATGTCCTTCCTACACACCATACACCCCCACACAGAACCAGGGGTACGCACAGCAGGTACATGAGAGAGTCTGTGTGTGAATGGGTGGGAAACGAGCCTATGAGGAAGTGTCTTCAATTTGTCCTTTCCCCTTACTGCCTGCCTAGCCTCCCCCCCACCCCCACCCCCACCCCAGTGACCACAGGCAGATCCCCTGCCTTTGCTGGCTCTCCTCAGGAGAGATGTAATAGTTCCTCCCCTCCCCTAGGCCTGCCCTAGATGCCCCAGGATCCATCCGTCCAGTCTGGAGGGCCTCAGCAGGGGCCAGCAGTCTCATTCTATGCTCTGAGCCCACTGCCTCCTGGGGTTGGACCCCTTGTCCTGGCTCTCCTGGTCCTGTAATGGTGTTCATGGTGCCCTATGTATTCAGCTGCTGGGCAACTCTGTGGCCATGATGAGACATTTTCACTCTACAAGCTGAACAGCCCAGACTCCTCCATGAACCAACAGGCTGCATCTCAGGGCTCTGTAACCCAGGGCATCATTGGGGCCATAAGAGTGGGACCAGGACTCAAGAGGCTGATCTGCCTTGCTACCCTGAATCAGGGGCTGCAGGGGGTGGGGCTGTGGAAATTGGAGGTTCTGGGTAAGAAGGGAGCTGTGCAACCATGTTGAAGGCTTGGAGTCAGCAGCTGGGGCAACTGCTGGAACAGCATCAACCTCACCTGCAGGGACAGATGGTTGGTGTGCTCAGGCAGGTCGCCTGGAAACTCCCGCAGGTCAATGCCACCGCAGTCCACAACACCTTCCTGGGAGCAGGCACAATCTCGGGGACAGTCGATGGTGGCTGGGCCAGGCTCTGGCTCCTCGGGGCTCAGGACTAGCACAGGCTGCTCCTCCTCCACAAATTCATTCTCCTCAGGGCTCAGGCTGTGGGTGCCACTGCGGCCAAACCCAGGTGCCCTCACGGCCAGGACGGGGCCCAGGAGCAGCTGTGGCAGCAGCAGCAGGAGTGATAGGCCCCTGCTGCTGGCCATGGTGCCTGTGGGAGGAGCGGTTCAGGCCCACCTCGGGGCCAGGGGAGTCACCGATCACGTGCATTGGGCGTGTAGTTATGGCCACTGAAGTCATGAGAGGGCCCTCCCAGGCGTAAGACAGTGGCCGCCTTAGAGCTTGATGACTGCCACCCTCTCTCATAGGGGACATCCTCTGGAGTGATGGAAGGGCCCTGAAGCCCCGAGTCAGGGCTGCCAAACCACCTATAACCCTCACCAGCCTGGGCCCTGAGGAATGTGCACCCCTATTTCACAGAAGGGAAGCTAAGGCGGGACCTGGAATTTGCTAAACTCCCGCTGTCCTGACATAGACAATGTGGCAATCCCTTGTCCCTCCCCAGCAGGTGTGACACTGCTCCAGCTTCCACGCAGGATCCCAGGATCCCTCTCCTGGCACCAGCTGAGCTACACTGGATTACCTAGTGGACCCTCCCGCCTAGCCTTTGCACATGCTACTGTTCCTTCTGCCCCAAATGCCCCTTCCCTCTCTTGTGCCGTCAACAACTTCCTTTCCAAGAAATAACTCAAGTGTTACAGCGTGTGTGGGAGGGCAGAGTCGGAGGTTGCCCAGGGCTTGGCAACAGTTGAACAAAAGTCACAGCACCTAAGCTGAGAAGAACTCTGCATGTGGGTGCAGTCTGAGTGACCCCAAAGCCAGGCAAAGAGGTGGCTGAGGCTGCTGCCATCCGATGACCCGATGAGTCCCACTCCGGGTGTTCAGTCACCCAGCTATCCTCACCGGGACCTGACACGCTCCCATGACCACTGCCCCTGCAGATAATCCCCAGCGCAGTAGGGATGGGTACAGGCTAAGAATGATGCTTGGCTACCATTGTCCCGGTGGTCCCAAAGATCAGGGCTTAGCATCACAAGGATTCAGATAAGTCTCTGGGGTGTGTTGAGGTACAACAGGTGGCAGTGAGAGGTACTGATCCCAGGACCCACAGACCCCAGTGAAAGCCTCACTTCCCCGAACTCACTGCACCCTCACTGCACCTCAGCCTCCTCCTCATCTGTACCAGGCAGGTGCTGTCTAAACTCACAGTCCTGTCAGGACAAAGTATGACAACAGACACAGAGCATCGGATGCCCATCAGGAGACAGAGCAGCTGTTGCTACTTGGAGGACTCTGCACAGTAACGTGGAACATTGCACACAGTAACACTGAGTGGTTGAGAGGTGTACAGGTGGGTGTCCAGGCTCTGAGGTCCACTCCAGAGTGGAGTAGTGGACAGCACACAAGCCAGGCTGGGGCTCTCCCACACTCCCTCAGGAAATGCAACCATAGCAGCAGCTAGAAGGGTCTGACCAGAGCTTGTCATGGCAGCATCAGGGAAACAGGGAAGTCGGCGGCCGTGACGCTGAAGGGTGAGATGTGGAGACCAATGGCTGGAGCTGTGAGCCTGCTCTGGCTCTCACCAGTCTGTGACTCCGGGAAAGTTTCAAAACAGTCTAAACTTCAGTTTCTCATCTGTCCTAGAGGTGATAATGGAAGTGTCCTCCATGGGCACTCCATAGGTCAATGAGGTACACACACTAATGCTTAATAAATGAATAAATTTAAATAAATGAGTAAATGAATGAATTTCTCCCTTCCATTACTCCAGTGGTTCTCAACCTTTCTAATGCTTCGACCTTGAATACAGTTCCTCATGTTGTGGTGACCCTCAAGCATAAAATTTTTTTCATTGCTACTTCATGACTATAATTTTGCTAGTTATGAATCATAATATAAATATCTGATATGCAGGATATCCGATATGTGACCCTTGTGAAAGGCTTGTTTGACCCCCTGAAGGGTTCTCAACCCACAGATTGAGAACCACTGCTCTGCTCCATAGCATGGTCCACCTCCCAGCCACCTCATTACCCACTCTAGCATCCCCTCTCCACCCCATCCCATATGTGGTAGTTTGAGTAGGTATTGCCCCATAGACTCATGTATTTGAATGCGTGGCCCACAGAGAGCAGCACTATTAGGAGGCATGGCCTTGTTGCAGTAGGTGTGGCCTAGAAGGAAGGTGGGGGTGGGTTTTGAGATCTCATATATGCTCAAGCTACACCCAGTGACACAGCTCACTTCTTGCTCCCTGTGGATCAAGATGAAAAACTCTCAGCTCCTTCTCCAGCACCATGTCTGCCTGCATGTCACCATGTCCTGTCATGATGATAATGGACTAAACTTCCGAAATTGTAAGCCACGGCAATGAAATGTTTTCCTTTATAAGAGCTGCCAAGGTCATGGTGTCTCTTCACAGCAGTAAAACACTAAGACACCATGTCTAGAACCCACCTAGACTTCTTGGTCTGGTTGATCCCAACCCATCTGCTCTAGATGGGCTGTAGAAGATGCTGCACTATTTTAGATACTGCTTTGTGGTCTTACTGCCTCGGATGCCCCATCTTGCACCCAGCCCTGGGCCCTGGAGACAGAGGTGAGGTAGGTCACATGCCTGTCCTGTCTGGAGTAGGTGATACCATAACCACTACCCACTCAGATCCAGGTGGCAGTATAAGGGGTCCCGAGGAAGACGAGACATCCCAGGAAAAGGGTATGAAGAAGAGGGCAACAGCCAGGTCCCTTGACCATACAATCCATGTGGCCTAAGCAGACTTGAGCCCCAGCCCGCTAGTCTGGCAGAGCCAGAGAGCCCTGCAGATGCCTAGCTCTTAGTGAGCAGAAGTGAGTGATGCGGGCAGCAGCCTGGCCCTCCATTCCCCTGCCACACTTCTACAGGTCATTAGCCTCCCCTCCCCCCATAGCTGATTCCACAGTCTTCTGGCCAGAGCAGGGGGGGGATGGGAGGGGGGTGGGAAGTGAGTCTCAAATTTACTCAGAGCAGGAGGCCAGGGAGCAGACGCAGGGAAGGAGCCGGTCCTCACATATACAAGGTACTCACTGGACAGGCTGGCTTTCTTCCCCTCACCTTTGGCTTGTCTCCATAAAAATCCACAGGCTTATCTGTACAAATACATAATTTATATCAACATTCTGAACCAAACTGAAAATGTTTTCTTCACTGCTTTAGAGATCAGAGAGCAGAGGCCCCTGGGATCGGCTAGTGTAACAGCTGTGAAGGGGCTGAGCTGAGCTTCAGGGCTTCTGCATTTCCCATGATGCTCTTGTGGGGGGCCGAGCACACCAAGTACTGGGGTCCTACAAGGAAGCCTGGGGCAGGCTCCTGGCTAAGAGGTTCACGATGCCCTGTCTACTCGCTGCCACATGTGCCTATGAAGCGCTTAAGGTATGGTGCTAGTCCATGTTGAGACATGCTCTAAAGAACACACTGTGTGTGTATAGATTTTAAGGGCACTGCAGAAAAGAATGTGAAACGCCTCATTAATACTAATGATATAGAGCTCCTCATTAATTTTATAATGGTTAAATAACACTTTTAATATATTGGGTTAAACAAAATTAAGTTTACCTGTCTTACTTTACTTTAAAAAATTATTTGTTCTAGGCATGGTGGTGCACGCCTTTAATCCCAGCACTCAGGAGGCAGAGGCAGGCAGAGCTCTGTGAGGTCAAGGCCAGTCTGGACTACAGAGAGAGAGTTCTAGGACAGACAGGGATATATAGTAAGACCCTGTCTTTAAAAAAATAAAAATTGGCCAGGCAGTGGTAGCACACATCTTTAATCTCAGCACTTGGGAGGTAAGGGTAGGCATATCTCTATGAGTTTGAGGCCAGCCTGGTCTACAGAGTGAGTTCCAGGACAGCCAGGACTACACAGAAAAACCAAGTCTTGAAAAACCAAAAAATAAATATAAAAATTAAAAATCATGTGTGTGTGTGTGTGTGTGTGAGACAGAGAGAGAGAGAAAGTGTGTGCGTGTGTGTGAGAGAGAGATTGTGTGTGTGAGAGAGAGAAAAAAAGTGTGTGTGTGTGTGTGTGTGTGCGCGCGCTCGCGCATATGCGCACGCAGGCTCGTGCATGCCAGGGTGAGCGTGTGGAGGTCAGGAGCACATCTTCTCCTTTCGTTCTTGTTGGCAGCCTGCACTGCACACTCCATGCTAGCTGGGCATTGAGCTTCCAGACAATTCTGCCTCCACCTCCCACCTTGCCATAGGAGTGCTGGGATTACAGATGTGTGCATCTGGGGATCGAACTCAGGTTGTTGGACTTGCACAGCTGGTGCTTTTACTCACTGAGCCATCTCTCTGGCCTCTCATTTTATTTTTCTTACATGGCTTCTAGAATATTGCATTTGTGGCTCACATCAAATTTGTTAGACAGTGTTGCTTTTGAGTCTGATGATAAACTGATAAACTTTAGAGTCAGGTAAACTGAGTCACCTGAGATGTGAGAGAGTAAGGTGGAGAGTTCACAGGAGCTCAGAGAAAGCATAACCTTGTCATCGACGTCTTCCTAGAGCAAGTGAAGCCTAGACTAGGCATTCTGATGGGCAAGCATCTGGCAAGAACAAAAGAGGGTCGGTGTGTGTGCAGGCCTGGGGTCCGGACAGTCCACGTGGAAATCTCCACAAAGCTCACTGGACTGTCCGTGGCAGGTGGGACGAAAATGACACAAGCAGACACAATGGCCACAGCCCTGGGCAGGTTACATGGTGGAGCGTCAGCCTCGTTTCTGGAGGATAAGGAGCTGCTGCCGTGAGCAAGGCTGTGCAGGGGATAAAGAGTCAGAAGTGCTGGTGCAGGGATGGAAAGCGAGGACCAGATTCCAGAGCCAGGTAGAAAGAATGGGTATGGCTGGGAGCCGAAGTGCAGAGCCCAGCATCACCTCCTGCCCTCAGGTTCAGCGCATAGTCACTGAGTCCCCACTCTCTTTTGAGCTATAGCTTGCTGGAGCAAGAAAAAGCCCAGGAATAGGCATAAGCTATGCTCCTGATTTGCAAGCTGGAAACTCAAGTGCAAATGGCCCCCCACGGCTGCCCACCCCCAAAATCTTAGACTCCTCAGCAGCCCTCCCCCAGAGGTCTTGGCTTTGTCCTTCAAGGTTAGACTGAGCCTCCCCTGATTCTGGGTGTTGAATGGATTTATGGAAAGGCAGAGGAGAAAGGCCTACGCCATCAACTGTTCGGATTCCCTGCCTTATAACTTAGTATGTTAAATATAATAGTAAACTAGAGTCAGGAGCTGGGGCGATGGCTCACCTGTTTGTTAAGAGCAGTACTCCACTTGCAGAAGACCTGAGCCCAGCACTCCCTGGGATGGCTTACAGCCACCTGTAACCCTAGCTCCAGGAGTTCTGACACCTCTGGCCTCTGCCAGCACCTGCACACACAGACACATAATTAAAAATAAGTCAGAGCCGGGCAGTGGTGGTGCATGCCTTTAATATCAGCACTCAGGAGGCAGAGACAGGTAGGTCTGAGTTCAAGGTCAGCCTGGTCTATCGAAGGAGTTCCAGGACAGCCAGGGCTACACAGGGAAACCCTGTTTAGGGGGAGGGGTCTTTAAAAAAAAAGAAGAAGAAAAACAAGGGCTTGATGGCTCAGCCAGGAAAGGCTCCTGCCTCCAAGTCTGATGACGAGAGTTGGAACCCCAGGACCCACAAGGTAGGGTAGAAGGAGACAACCAATTCTGGCAAGCTGTCCTCTGACTTCCACACATGCTCTGTGGCATGTGCATACAAACACACATGATGGATGGATGGATGGATGGATGGATGGATGGATGGATGGATGGATAGATGCCTGGATGGATAAAATAAATTTAAGACTAGAACTAATGTTTTGCTTCTGCCCATAGCCCTGAGCTGGTCTTGAAGGATGAGTAGGAGTTCCCCAAGTGAACAGAGGGAAAGGCAAGCCCTCCAGACAGATGGGAAGCATGGGGCAGGGTGTGAAGTAGGGACAGGAAAGAGGCAGATGTGTTTAACCAGGGTAAAGGGGGAATAGAAATTAGGGATGGAGACACAGGTTGCCAAGAGTTGCCAAGTCACCATGGCAGGGTATTGATGACAGAGAGCCATCGGGGTTCCAGTAGGTCATGATTAGCATTCTGTGTATGACTCCACCAAGCCTACAGGTGCCACTTCCTAACCGGGATTCAGACAGAAGGGACAAAGAGTACCCTTTCACTGTGCACAAAGTCATTGACTCTGACACTTTTTACCTTGCACACAGAAGAGTGGGCCCAGGGCTCCAAGAGTATACAGAAGGATGCAGAAGCCCCAGAGCAGCCACAGATGAGTTTCCCAGGGCAGCCCAGGCCCTCCCCAGTGGTGTGTGCCCTGTGAGCCCGGGATCTGATCGTTTTGGTTTTCACAGGGCAAAAGGGAGAGCGGAGGAAAGGCCCACCCAGGGGTCCTCCCAGCTCACACCCCTAGTGCCTCTTCGTGCCTGGCAGAGCGCAGTTTCACCTTCCCCAGCAGACGCTCTGGGTGCTAATGCCCATCTTTCTGCCACCTCCTGCACGCCTGCATCCTGGCCAGGGCACTAGCTAGCCCTTGCTGCACACTCCAGCAGCTTAGGCTGCAGCTGCCTCCCAAGCCAGGCCCCTGCTCGGGAGCCCCAAGCCAACCCCACCCCCTTCTTCCACCTGACTGCAGGTCAGGTATTTCAACTCGAGCATCCCCAGGCCCTGTGCCATCCCCCACCCCGCATCCTGCCCAGGCTGATGACACACACAACCTTAGGACGACTGTGCTTTTCGCCTTGCCCCTTTCTGTCCCGCTGGAAGCAGCAGCCTAGACAGACGGTGGGGTTGTGGCCAGAGTGTACAGAGCTGTGCTAGAACGCATCTGTGCGCCTCACCTGTCCACGCACCCTCGAGATTGATTTTTTGCCTCCTTCTGGGCTTGATTCTGTCTGTAAAGAGGTCGTTGTTGGATTCGGTGGAGCCCCTGCTGAACTGACGTGGAAAGTCGCGGGATGCCCTGGGCCCAAGTTCTCAGTGCAGAGATCCAGACCCCTTCCCAGTTCCACCTGCCCCCACAGTCCCTGTCACCCGCCCGTGTGCCTCCACCTCCCCTCCCCACCCGCACGCAGATTCTTTCCAGATGTGCGCAGCGGGAGGAGCCCGAAGGCTGGGAACCAGCCTCTGAACATCGAGTAGAAAAATCGCCCCCTGGCTCCCGATCCCGCAGGGGTCGCCCCCACCCCTTGCCCCGTGTGTGTGTGCCCGACCGTGCTCCTGCGCAGGGTCCATGGGACAGGGCGGGATGGGGCGACCGTCGCCCGCAGCGGCGGTGGGCACACTGCGGGAAGTCAGAGTGGGCTGCCCGGGCGCGGCCCATGGCCCGTGGTCCCTCGGTCCACCCGTCCGTCCGCACCCCTACCTGCTGCTGCGCGCCGGGCCGTGGGCGGAACAGGCTCCCGGGTGTCGGCTGCGCTCCGCGGGCGCGGGCGGCTGTCATTCAAGTCGCGCCGTGCGCGCAGCGACGCCAAGTTTTGTTGTGGGTTCTCTCTCCCCGCCTCTCCCCCGGCCCCCGCCCCGCGTGCATCTGCCGGACGCCGGCCTCTCCCGACACAGGCGCAGGGTCCCGCCGGGCGCGGGGAGGGAGGGAGGGCCTGCGCCCAAGGCGTCGGGGCTTGGCGAGGCCCCACTTCCCGGGAGCCCGCGCCGCCGCCCCGGCCCCTCTCCGCCCCGGCGGGCCGCCGCACCACGCCCCCCCCAGCACCGGCCAGGCGGGGTGCCTCGGGCGGCGCACCACGTCCGACTGCCTGCCAGTCTGCGCCGTGGGGCCGCTCCCCAATCGGGCCCCCGCACCTGAGGGCAGCCGCGAAGGCTCCTTCCAGCCACTGCCTCATGCCCGAGAGGATTTTGCAACCCTTCCAGGTGCAAGTGCCTTTCCGTTCCCTCTCCCACCCTGGGGTCCTGGGCTGTGGCTAACTCGGCGCCAGCCAAGACCCTGTTGGACCCCTTCCCGGCAAAATTCCTAGTTTTCCGCCCCACCATCCGCCCTCACTCCATGGGC